AAGATAACAGAATTCAAATACGAACTTGCCCCGTCTGGTTGAAGTGTAGTGAGAGCTGACTGTGTGAACTAAATAATGCTTGTCCTGTACAGAATGGAGAAGAAAAGCAAAATTTTGTTCACCTGGGAGCCCATATTTTAAAAAATGCATTGATACCTAACTTAAATAATTGAATACATATCATAAACATACAAATTACACCATTTAAAATATACTTACTACAAAAAGATCCTGAATATTTTTGGTTAATGCAAATAAAATTTCTTCACATTATTTTAAGAGTCAAAATATTTTACATCAATTTGTGCTTTTAAAACTATTGCTAGCTTCCCCTGGGAAAAGCCAAAATAACTGTATATTGTAGAAAAAAGTTTTTGCACTTTTGACCCAAATACACATATCAACACAAGAAGAGGCACAATAACATCTAATAATTGTTCTACATTTCCCTGAAACAGACAAACAAACAAAACCTAGTTATTCAATGAAATACATTTCTATGGTAATTGCTAATTTGATGTTTTCACACGTGCACAAAAGAACTACTTTTTCTTGGTCACTAACGACAGCAAACCCTAGATGTCTAGGAATATATATATGTGTCATATATATATTTACATACATACATATTTAAGAGAGCATATGAAGAAAATAGGACGGTTTGCACATACATATTCAAAGCCTCTCAGAAATTCCACGTAGGTCCACATTAGTGAGCCTTAATGTATTGCCAGCGTTCTGTGTAAATAACCAGAGAAGTAAAACAAACTTTAGTAGTGGAGTCCCTCCTTATACATTAATAGAAAATCTAGTTATAAGTGGTATGATTCGCTCATAAGAGGTCAGGAGTTCAAGACCAGTCTGGCCAATATGTTGAAAGCTCATCTTTACTTAACAAAAAATACAAAAATTAGCCAGGAGTGGTGGCGTGTTCCTGTAATACCAGCTATTCAGGAGGCTGAGGCACGAGAATTGCTTGAACCTGGGAGGCAGAGGTTGCAGTGAGCTGAGATTGCACTACTGCACTCCAGCCTGGGCGACAAAGACATGGTCTCAAAAAAAAAAAAAAAAAGAAAGAAAAAAAAGAGAAAAATGCTTATCACTTAACCAAATTCTTGCTAAGGGAATGTAAATATAACTGTACCTTCTTCAGGGAATTCATCGTCAGGGTACACTGGCTTAACTGCAGTGACTCACTCGTTTTTCAATGCGGAGGTAATATTCATAGAAAAATCAATATTCCATGTGGAGAAAATGTATTTTTCCTGTGGATGAATTACTGATTAATTGGGTTGGAGTAAACTTTACTTTCTGCAGCTCTAGTATTTATTTGTCAAATGAAGATCCAATCTGGCAATCATCTCTTACAAATGGTCCATCAGATTGGTCAGATAGATTATTCTATAGCTCCAATCCCTCCCAGATAAAGTCATTGATTATCTGTATATACTCAATTGGGGAAGACCCGCATCACGAGAGGACAGAGTATGTGATGTAACAGAAACGATTCCCACCGCTATTAATGTGTCATAGACAGTGGGATCCCTGGGGAATGAAAAATAGGACAATTCAGCTAGAATTTTCTCTTTGATCAACTCTCTTCGATTTCTGATTGTGCTCTCAAGCTGAGCCCTTTCTATTTGCATTACAATTTCAATCCTTGGTTGGTGAGAGTTCTTTTTCAATGTTTGTACTTCAGTTTTGTAGATAACTGAGGTTGCAGATATAGAGTTTATACTGTCAAAACAATCATCAAATAATCAAAATAATCATAATTTTGAGTCAAGATTGGAATAAGAGGAGTTAAGCATTATGGTTGTTTGAGGGTCTGTTAATGCTTCTCTGATTCCCTTCCACTTTCGTGGTTTTCCCATATGCTGGACGCGTGTATAATAACACTTACCTCATACGCCTCTTGATGGAATGAAGCCTGTATCGTGCATTTTTCTTTGGAGAAAGATTACAATTATGGCATTTGAAATCCAAATATATATCTAGGGAATGTGGGAATTACTTGTCATTATGTAATTTCTTATGAAAGCTTTGTCTAAAATAGCAGATTGCAGAACAGAAAAAATCGGGTGCAATTGCAGGAAATGAGACTGAAAAATAATTCAGAGTTAGTTTATGAAGGGCCTGAATGCCATCCAAAGGAGTCTGCGTTTATTCTGTATTTTTCTGAAATATATCTCACAGAACACTTGTGCTACCGGATGTTAATATGTCTAAGGCAGGCTAGATTAAGTTTAAGTTTTAGTAGTCCTTAAATATGCTAATATGCATCGTGATTCTCTAAGGGAGGGTTTTTTGTTTTTTGTTTTTTTTCTCAAACTAAACAATGTAACTTGGTAATAGGCAGACAGGGAATATGAAGAATGTTCCAGCTTGGCACCTTCAGGTCAGTTAAGTCCAATATTCTGGGTACTTTCAAGATGCCAGATAGTCATTTCTTTGTATCATATGTATCCAGCACACAGCAGATTGTGTATCCAGCACACAGCAGGGCTTAGTAAACAAATGGAGTGAATGAAATATCCGAATAGTCCTCAGTGGCCTTACTTATAAAATGGGAAAACAATCATATAATTGTTGAAAGGTTGAAGAGTTGGAGAAAAGTGGTCCCAGAATATTTCACAATCAAGTACTATTTTTTAGTTCAAATCAAATTAAAACAGATTTACAAATGAAAAAATAAAAGGAAAAATAGGTAAGAGACTACTATTGAATTACTGTCTAGCTGCGTAATCTTTGCTTAACTTTTCCAAAGCTCATTTGTAAAGCGGATAATCACACTTACCTTGAAAGGCTCTAATACTCTGCCAAGCACATGAGCTGGGCCCAGGGGTGGGAGTATATGGTGTTGTGGTTAAGAGCAGAGGCTAGGAGCCAGACCTGAGTTTGAATCCCAGCTCTGCCTCTGACTAAATGTGTGATACCTACTATGTGTGTAACCGTAAGCAATTTAATTTCTTTCTGCCTCAGTTTTCCTCATCTGCAAAATGGGAACAATAAGTATACTTCTCTCGGAGGGCTGTGGTGAGGACTGCATATAAACTAATGAATGTTGTATATTAAGAAAAGTTCACGGCTATTCGTATTTCAGATTTTGTCTGTAATCGGAAGGAGATGCTGAGGCCTGCCCTAATTCGTTCTTCTTAGACTGCAGCTGCTTGACTGGCAGTTGGTTCCCATTTCCTCCTTCCTCCCAAACTGGGTGCTCACAGCTCACATTTAACCTGTGCCCGCCCCCACCCAGTCCAACTCCCGAGTTAGACCTTCTGTTCTCCTCCAAACCCCTATATATGTACATATATATGTAGTAATTTAATTTAAACATTCACCAGTCCTTTTTTTTTTTTTTTTTTGGTCATTAATATTCAGGGGCATTCATGTTCCTACCTGGTTTATATTTGGATTGTTTTTTTCTCTGGTTTATTCCAAATTTTTGCCTATTGAGTTGATGGCCACTTAAAAGACAGAGAAATTCTTGGCATGTAGAATTTGGAAGGAAATAGAAAGGCAAACAAGAAATAAGGATGAGCACGATTCTGCACGGAGATCTGTGATGAGAAAAGAGAACCAAACCAAACTCCAAGATGTTTGTGTAGCTAGTTTGTTAGTTACTTTGATATGCTGGTGTCATATCATCACTATGCTGGCAATTGGAAAAAATTTAAATAGGTGCTTGAATTATTCCCACTGTAACATTATTTTGATTCCATCCTTTGTCCACGTTAATGCACTTCCCCCAAATCTTTTGAAGATTCCATGGAATTCCTCAAATAGACAGTGAGGCATCAGGAAGCCAACAAAGTTTTGTTTTGTTTTGTTTTTTGTCTGAGATGGAGTTTCACTCTTGTTGCCCAGGCTGGAGTGCAATGGCACAATCTCGGCTCACTGCAATCTCCACCTCCCAGGTTCAAGCGATTCTCCTGCCTCAGCCTCCAAAGTAGCTGAGATTACAGGCGTGCACCACCAACCCGGCTAATTTTTTGTATTTAATAAAGACGGGGTTTCACCATGTTGGTCAGGCTGGTCTCAAACTCCTGACCTCAGTTGATCCACCCACCTCGGCCTCCTGAAGTGCTGAGATTACAGGCATGAGCCATCGTGCCCAACTGCCAACCAGGTTTTTAAGAATCCTCCAATAATCCCCCAAACTCTCCCTTCTATTTCAGATAGTGGGACTCTGTGCTCATGCCAGTAAGTAAAGAAGAAGGAATAAGAAAGACACTGTGTGATCTAGTATTAATAAGGAAGTAAGTGATCAAATTACTCCAGCTAGATCGGTAGAATCTATTATCAAGCACGTTGAGGCCGATAGCATTCACAAATCAACTGTCTACGTTTATACTCACTGATGACTCGTGTTTCCTTTCGAGGACAAGTAAGCTTTTTAAATGATCAAGACGTTTACATTAGTTTTGCTCTTCAGCGGCCTTTTTAAAAAAAAAATCCAAAGGCAGAAGTTAAATTTAAAAGAGCTTTCCATGTTACCCCAAAGAGAGATTATCAATCACCAAGTTAAATATTTATATACAAAATAATATCTGGATGCATAGATTCTTACGTTCATCAGATGAAGAGTGAAAGAGTTATTAGTCACCATGCTTTATTTACACTCCTGTCAAAATTACATGAAAATATTTCTCTCCAAAGAACCATTCTAGAGAACCCTTTCATACAGAGTGGTGTGTGTACATCTAAGAGGTTGCTCAGTTTAGCTCAAAGGCTAAAGAATCTAGTGAACTGAGTTCCACCACGTCATGACTTTTAAGTGGTAGGTTACCACCAGAAAGAGATGACTTCAAGCACAGATTTCTAGCAGCAGGGCCAGGATTAAAAACCCATGTGACAACAGGCTTCAGAGAGAGGAACAATCCATTCCTAATTCAAAGGCCATCAAGCCCGAGTTGTAAGAACATTTTTGACTCTGAGAATCTTCTCTTTTTACCAAGAAAATCCCTTACAGTCATGGTTTAACATCCTAAATTAAGGAATAGAAGAAACCAAATTAATCTTTAATTTATACTCCGCTTATATATGTTTTCAATCGTCCACTACTGCAGGATGTACACTGAACGGTAGAAGTCATATACATCATTTTCATCAGACAACCTCATCTACCAAAATGGTGATAACACAATCTTATTTTGAAGCCAAAAGAGAGTTATAAACATCAATCGTTTTCAGATATGCTTTAAAAATGTTCAAAAGTAACATCATTATTTTAAGTTACAGCACAATCATTAAAGGAAAAAAGAACCCAAGAACAAATGAAATTCGTTATTATTTTAGTTACTTTTAGTGGAAAAAAATAAAACAAGATTAGGATTTTCAGCCAGGACAAAGTAAAAGACTGTTGTCAGATGTCCACTTTCTCTTTCATGAACTACTTGAGACTGTACTCCTGGGTCAGCTTATTTCTGCTTCTCCTGTCTCTAGACCTGTCTTAATTATATATGTCTCAGGATCCATGATATAGATTTAAACAGACCCGTGGGCAAATCTAAACACTGACCACACAGTGTCCAGTCTATTCATTTCTCTACAAAGCGACAGAAATTCAACCTTTAATAAGTAGAAGTTGATTCTACCTAAATTCCTAACATAACTAATAAAATATAGTTGCCTTCAATAAAATAAATGCCCAGACATTATTTTAAAGGATACAGCAAATCCCAGTCATACCTCTACCAAGGCTAACTATGCTGTACCTTAATCTGTTTGTTCTCAGAGCCAAAATCAGTGCTTCACCTAGATTCTCCTTTCCTAAAGAGTCTGTCAACTCAAAAGAAATGCCTAGTTCTTGATGCAGACTCATCATTAGTCAATCCTGGTCTTGGATATTCATGCTTCTAATAAGCATGATTGATAACAGTCTTGCTAATAAGCAATAGTAATATCAATCTTGAATATTCATGCTTCTAATAAGATTGGAAGAATACCACTTGGGTACTTGCATATAGCTACTAGTACCTACATCCTCCACTACTTACAAGCTAACATTTGCGTTTATCAATATTATTATTATTATTATTTTGAGGCAGAGTCTTGTTATACTGCCCAGGCTGCAGTGCAGTGGTGCAATCATAGCTCACTGCAGCCTTGAACTCTTGGACTCACGTGATCCTCCTGCCTCAGTTTCTTGAGTAGCGTGGATGACAGGCTTGCACCACCACACCTGGCTAATTTTTTTATAGAGATGGGGTCTTGCTATGTTGCCCAGGCTACTCTTGAACTCCTGGGTTCAAGTGATCCTTCTGCCTTGGCCTCCCAAAGTGCTGGGATTACAGGCATGAGCCACCATGCTCAGCCTAACAGTGCCTTTAAAAACCTCCTGGGTTACATTGAAAACCTTACTATCACATGTCAACTTATTTTGAAGCAAGTTAGCTTACAATTTAGAAAAGTCCTTGTAACACTTCTTCGTTCTCTCTACTGTTACTCAGTTTTCTGAAAACTTTAAGTAGAAGCAAGACCTTGGCAGCAAGATAAGTCATCACATGGTTCAACGTATATTTGTGCAATGGATCAAGTTTACCTATTATCTTGCACACTGCTCTCAATTATAACCTGAGAACCAGAAATTATCCCCTCACTTTATAAAAATACTGTTTTAAAAGATTATTTAACAGCATCATCTTTTTAAATCCATGTGTAACACTGAAAAACACTATAAATGTATTTTATCTCTCAGGGGTTAAAAAAAAATCTGAGCTGTACTGAAGGGCATTTTCTGTTGCTTCTTCAGATCTTTTATATTAACATTTAAGCACAAATACCCTTTGTCAACTGCTTTCAGTGCCAGGATCTGTGCTTATTCAAAGATAAAAACAAAAACAACCATATAATTCACAGTCTCTGCAGACCAAATCATAAATGTATTAACCAATAACACTGAATGCAAATTCAGGTAACCATATCAAACCTAGTGAAAAAAAATGTGGTTCGTCTTTTAGAGGAGTTGTCTAAAAGGATCCAATCAATCACAACTTCCCTTTTTCTCTGCAATGATACACCAGTTACCATGATCATTTCCAGAACTCAGGATACGGAGCTCTGATACATTCTCCTTGAGCAGACTGCAGAGCTCCCCTTCTCGAAACACGTGGTAGTAGCGCATAAAGGCTCTGGAGTCCAAAAGATCAGGCTGTGGATCTTCGACAGACATTGTATCATCTGCGTTGGAATCTGTGGAACCGACTGCAGAAATCCTTCTCAATATTTTACTAGCAGAAGGATTATCATCTTCTAAGTTACCTGCATCCACACAATTCGCACTGGTATTAGTGCTATCCAGAAAACTCCCCCCTCCATTTCTCCTCATTTCTCCTTGATGGTCTCCATTTAAATGCTTCAGAGTGCCTGGTGCTCTCAGCCACTCTAACTGTTTTCGAGAAGAAGATTCCACAAACACTTCCTCATCTAAGTTTTGCTCTTTTGTTGAAAATGGCTCTTGGTGATCAAAGTCTAAACTAGAGTGTCTGGAAGGCTGGACTGTTACAGTGCTATTGGCCCAAACTTCTGTGTTTTTCAAGGGTCTTACTCTTTCAATTTGCTTCCTCAGAGTCGACTCATCCAAAGACCTGGAGAAAAACCAGGAACGAAATGATTTTCCTAATGTGTTGTAGAATCCATATTCTTCCTCTCCTTCCTTAGAAATATTTGCAAAACAAGTTCTTGCCATAGCAGGTTCATAGTCCACGCTGTGGGACCGTTTTGAGCCACACTGCTCTTTAAAACAAACAGAACAGCTACACTCAGAGCAAGGAGGATGGTAGGGATGGCTTCTTTCTGAGTGTCCACACTGCCTCTTCCTCCCAGACTGGCTGGACTCTGAGAAGAGCTGGGAACACAGGGCCCTGTTCCATGGAACGAGCACGTCTTGCTTCTCAAAGCGACGGTTCTTTTGCTCCATTGCCCAAACGTAAATCATCAGCTGGCCTCCAGGAACCAAGACCCTGGCCATTTCTTTTATTGCTCTGATTCTTCTTTGTTTCGTAGAAAAATGATGTATGACTGAAAAAGACAAAACTACATCTTACTGTGTATGCACACACATAAACCCACACACGTATATACTGGTGTTTACCACATAACAATGATGACATTTTGACATCTAGTAAAACCTTCTTATTTCCTCCATGGCAACGATGATGACAGAAATAGCACAGGCCTGATTTTAGGAGAGATATAAATTTTAGCTTTGGCTGCTGTACTTTAATATTAGATAGCTGATCTTGGGCAAGATATTTAAGTGCTATAGATTTTAACATGCTTCCTCTAAAATAAGAAGTCTAGAGTCCATAAATCCATAAAGTCTCTTCCAGTTCCAAAATACTACGGATTTTCTTAACCAGAAGGATGGCCAATGTGAATTACTAAAATTTGAAAGGGATATTAAGTGTTCCCTGGTTGAATTCTATGACGTAATTGAATGTTTTAATGAATACTTTGTACTTCTAAAGTAATAGCTGAGAAGTAGAGAAATATATTAAAGATTGTTTCTCTGTCTGGATAATGCAAAGATCAGCCAGCTCACCACAAGTCCAATTGATTGCTTATCACAAGATATAAAATAGTTGTGTCTATTAAAAAAATCAATGTCTATAGGTCATCATTTTACTTTCAATTTCTGCAAAGTCAAAATGAGCTTCAAGTAAGACTGCCTTTATTAAGTCATAAGTGTGTTATTAGGCATAATTTTATCCACCAATAGACAGAAAGTGCTAGTCTGTTAGTTCTTGAGGGAGTGTAATCACAGTACTGTGTCAAGAGAAAACTTCAAATTAGTTTTTCCTACACAGACCTACCAATATATCAGGGAGGAAATTAATCTCAAGCAAAGTTTCTTGTTTTGATATGAGTTGTGAGGGCAGAGATAGAGGCTGAAAGGGTTGCTCTAAGGGTCAAAATAATCCAACTGTTAGTGGTGATTTTAGGCAAACTAATCTTTGTAGTTTACCTGCCACAGAGATATATTGAATATCAAAAATGGGGTTTGTGTACAGATCAAACTAGTAAAGAAATATCACTCAACAGATACATTTTGTATTGTTAGCAATCAAGTTTTCATTCCTATCCACAGCACATGAACTTTGGTATCTCTACCAGGCAGCAATGTAAGAAAGCCAGAGGTGTGAGGGTGAAATGGGTTTGAAGAACAAGACACCAGTGTATTTTATTCTGCTAGATTTTTTTTGGTAACTAGTTTTGTGATCTTTGACCAATCACTCCATCCACCTGGCCTCAGACTGCCGCCACCCACCCCCCAAAAGAAGAGTCCTTTAAAATGGCTCATTTGAAAGCAAACCTTTCTAGAAGTAGAGTCCTGATTACTAAGCTAAGGAGGTATAGGAGTCGGGACTGAGAAAGACTCAATCCACTGCTAATGCTCACATTTATCCGTGGTTACTAAGGGCCATTAATATCTCCCATGCCACGTGCAGTGGCTCATGCCAGTAATCCCAGCACTTTGGGAGACTGAGGTAGGTGGATCACTTGAGGCCGGGAGTTTGAGACCAGCCTGGGCAACATGGCAAAACCCTATCTCTACAAAAAAATACAAAAAAATTAACTGGGCACAGTGGTGTGTGCCTGTAGTTCCAGCTACGCAGGAGGCTGAAGTGGGAGGATCATTTGAGCCGGGGAGGTCGAGGTTGCAGTGGGCCATGATCATGCCACTGCAGTTCAGTCTGGCCAACAGAGTGAGACACTGTCTCAAGTATCTCCCATATGTATGTATGTATCTCCCATAACTTGCACCTAATTCACTTTAGAGCTTCTTCTGTGGGTATATTTTCTAAATGCAATCCATCTTCATTATTCATGGATTCTGTGTTTGCACATTTGCCCACTTGATAATCAATCGCCCCCAAATCAATACTCCCCAAATTGTAATCCCCCAAATCAATACTCCCAGACTTTCATGGTCATTCACTGACGAATGCAGAGGGGCAACTTGAGCCTCTCAATGCATGTGTCCCAGCTGAGATGAAACAAAGCGATGTTCTTCCTTCTGATTTCAACTCTAATACCGTAAACAAGGGTTATTTTTGTGATCTATTTTGTGCCACATTTTCTGCATGTTTGTGCTTCTCGTTGGTGATTTTGCTCTTTGAAATCGCCTCCAAACATAGTGGTGAGGTATTACCTAGTGCTCCTAAGCCCTGGAAGACTGTGATGTGCCTTACGGAGAAAATATATGAGTTAGATAACTTCATTCAGGCCTGAGTTGCAGTGCTGTTGGCATGAGCCTAAGATCAAATAAACTGTCTTTAAACAGAAACACACATAAAACAAGGCAATATATTGTTCAGCTGACAAAAATGTTGTGACCAGAGGCTCACAGAAACTCAATCCTGTATGCCTCTTGGGATTCTATATTCCACTGAATTTATTAATTCAGTGTTCACAGAGACTTTATAGAACATTACTACTGTAGATAATAATTGACTGTATTTTTTGGGGGGTGGTAGAAGACCAAAAAAAAAACAAACCATTAAAATGGGACTATTTTAATAAAATGGTCTCTTCAGGAGACTCATACATCAACATTCAGAATTTTATTGGGCTTCAAAGTAGGTTTTTTTCTTTGTTTTCATTTTTGTTTTGAGACAGGGTCTTGCTCTGTCACCCAGGATGTAGTCGCTCCATCTCAGCCGGCTGCAGCCTCTGCCTGCTGGGTTCAGTTGATTTTCCTCTCTCAGCGTCCTGAGTAGCTGGGACCACAGGTGTATACCACCACACCCAGCTAATTTTTGTAATTTTTGTAGAGATGGGGTTTCGCTGTGTTGCCCAGGCTGGTATCGAACTCCTGAGCTCAAGCCATCCTCCCACCTCAGCCTCCCAAAGCGCTGGGATTACAGGTATGAGCCACCATGCCTGGCCAAGTTGTTTTTTTAAACAGAAAGTCCTTATTTATTCGTTTATTAATGCCTGAGTGACAATTCCTTTCCAATCAGACGTAATACTGTAATTTCGCCCAGGAATATCAGTCTTTTATATTATGTTTTATATTTAAAGTGTAATAAGTAACAGTCTTTAAACCAAATGTTCTTAAGAAAAAAACAGCCGGCTGGGATGGTGGCTCACACCTGTAATTCCAGCACTTTGAGGGGCTGAGGTGGGGGGATCACTTGAGCTCAGGAGTTCAAGACCATCCTGGGCAACATAGTGAAACCCCATCTCTACCAAAAAAATAAAAAATAAAAAAAGATTAGCTGGGTGTGGTGGTGTGTGTCTGTGGTCCAAGCTCCTCAGGAAGCTGATGTGAAAGGATCACTAGAACCCAGGAGGCAGAGGTTGAAGTGAGCCAAGATCACGCCACTATACTCCAACCTGGGTGACAAGATACGACCCTGTCTCAAAAAAAGAGAAAAAAACAAAAACCCTACAAATGATTACTTCTTTACATGTTAAATGCATTAGACATGCATACACAAGCATGTTCTATTAAGAAACATTGTAAATGTATCTAAAATGGGAAGTGAGAATATATTTACCTGAAATATCAATGTCTGGAAACTATGTTGAATTTTTTAAAGTCCCTTTTGTTTAAAAAAAATCATAATTACAACCTTAAGGCAAAAGTAGTACTCAAGGCCGGGCGCGGTGGCTCAAGCCTGTAATCCCAGCACTTTGGGAGGCCGAGACGGGCAGATCACGAGGTCAGGAGATCGAGACCATCCTGGCT